AGTGTGTCTTTTATGAGCAGCAAAATCCTTCAGATTCAATCAACAATGCAGATAAGATTTTGATGGGTCTATCTGGCATGAAAAAAAACAACCTGAAAGAAGGGAATTTGGTGTTTTCTTATTATAGCCTAGTCTGAAAAGTTTTAGTTAGTTATGGCAGGGTGCAGCTGTGCTCAGATCAAGGCAAAGGGATGCTGCAGGGCAACTGTGAGCTGAGCATAAGAAAGTGAAGGTAAAAAAAGCTTAGCAAAACAGAAGAAAGTTCTATTGGAATTATTCAATAAGCTCTTCACATTAATTGTTCCTCCATTTTTCCAGCTCTGTTTCTCTTGTATTCTATTTTTGTATTATTTTTATAAGAAGTCCACAAAACTGCATTTATTTACTCTTTCTCTATATATTTTGTTCCTGAGCAATGACATTTGCAAATGCATTTTCAGCTACAGTCTTTATGGCAATACCTCACAGACATCTCTAGTGTATATTTCTCTCTTCATGTCAAAATGAAAACCTTGGATTGTCTCTCATTGCCTAACTTCATGCAATAGGTGAACAGTTCATTTAAGTTCAATGTGGCCACAGAAAAATAAAAAAACCAAAAGTCCCCTATTTCCATATTTTTCACTCCTTTTTCCTTTCTTAGTCGCTGTGAATGCTGCCACTGTTATCCCCAGCCCACGTCCTGAGTTTCACATTCAGTTTGTTCAACCCTTCCACTGTATCTGGATCTTGACATGTACTTTTAAAGAAAATATACAAGCTATGGTCTTCTTTATTAATCTTTAAAGAAAATGTATTCAGGCTTTCATCATCTCAAGTGCTGTAAATCACTCTCTTTTGACACTGAGAAATTCAATATTGCCTTATCCAAAATGTTACATAAAATATCCATTTTGCTGAATCCTCACACTGGGCACATCACCCATCCTTTGGTATCCCCTCTCCGATCCCTTTACTTTATAGCACAAAAATAAAAGTATTTCTTTTCTAAATATGCTCTTGCTCCACAAGTCATAAATCTGATCTGATGGGCAGTCTGACAGAACTGCAGGCAGGATTAAAACTAGATAGAAAAGTCTCACATCTATGATGTCCCAGACAGAACATTTTGGAATTGGCAAACCAACATCTACTGATAAACCTTACCAACTGTGCAATAAAAATTATTTGTTGACCCTTTTCCTGTGACCACTGGGACTGACAATGCTCTTCAATTTTTGAATTCATGGATCCAAATACGAACAGATCAGCAAAAAGGCTGTTAATGATAAGAAGAAACTGAGCACTGATGCACCTCAGGAAGTATTCTGCCTGATGGTCTGATACAGTCATACTAGCAGGAGAAAAGCAACACAGAAGTTTGTAGCTGCTCCTTCCCCAGGTAATGAGTGGGGAGGAGATAGGAAGTTATTTATAGTGGTGCATTTGTAGCTACCAGATTAGATTTAAGTAGATGTGTGTATAATGCTGTTTGTGGGGTTAACAGGGGTGTGTTGAATCATTTTGCTAGGAATAATATGTTGTGTGAACATGCTCCTGTTAAATAAGGTAGAAATGTTGTTCTGATTAACTAATCAGAGCTCCTACATAATTTATGCTTTATTGCTTTAAGAAAAGACTTGATCATTCTTCTCATGAAAACATGCAAATGCAAACCTGTGGTAGTTGTTTTGGTGTCAGCAACAGTTCCAGATTTATGAGATCAAATTCTCGTTCATGGTTCCTTCTTTATTCTAAATAATCATTGAAAACAGACATTTTAGAAAATTATTCACGACCTATGGGCTTAAACCAGTAGTATTTCAGACTCCTAAACTCAAAGTAGACAGTATGAGAGCTTCAGATGAATTAATTCTGTTCACCTATTGAATCCATAGGGTGTACAGATTACATGTATGGAATTGCAGCAGTTTATGTAACTAGATCACTATGAAAGAAGGTTAACAAGATGAAAGACTATTTATCCCAGTGAGGGAACTGCTGGATGGAGGCTTAGGATCCCCCTTATGTTCCTTCCAGCCTTGTGAGAACTGGCAATGGTTAGAATCCAATTATTCTCTGACATTAATGCCTTTTTATCCCACAGAAGCTGAAGTGTGGGAAGCTCTTAAAGTTTACATAAAGGTGAAGATTGCTATTTACTTCTCAGCTGATGGTGGTACAAGCAAGCTGTCAAAACTACAACCACAGCTCAGGCCTGGGGTTTTTGTTAAATGGAGATCTATAGTGCTTCTGTTAAGGTTTAACTGGTTTTAGTTCAGAGTCCCATGTGGTGGATCATAAACTTCTTGAGCTGTCAGAGCTAAATAGAGATCACTTAAGCCTTCAGAAAAATTGGGGAATCTCCCTTTTTGTTTTAAATCTACTCAAGACATATAATAGGACTTAACCACTTTTTCTGATAGTGAACTTCCACACATCATCCTTATGCCCAGTAGATATACAAATTAAAGTTTTATTTCCATCATGGTTTCTAAGCAGATTGGAATTTGTCCACTATATTTAGCTTAGCAAAGTAACATAGGGATGTGAGTCTATGCTCTTGTTCTGGTCTTTGCTTCCAAGGGTGTTTCACAGCAGTATCTTCATGGGAATTAAAAAAAAAAGAAGAAGAGGCCAGTATCTGAATAGCCTGTTTCCCTTTAGAAATAATCCATAAGATAATTAAAAACACCTCTAAACTGAGAGTGGAGGTATTTTGGGGTTTGTTTCTAAGTTTGTGTTTGAAGAAGGCAGGAAGGCAGCACAACATTTATTGTCACTCGTGACAGTATCCGCTTTTCCTTAAGAACAACAGCTGGCAAAATCTGGCTGAAAGTTCCTATATCTTTAGCAAGTTCTATGAATGGATGAGACCAAATTAAAATACTACTTTCAATACAATCTCTTTTATTTGCTTTTGCTTCTTACACCGCTTTTGAAATGTGATGTAAGGCAAAAAGCATTACTGGACAAGCAGCTCATGTTTGTGATACCTGATTTACAGCTCTGCTGATCCCAGAAGTAATTCAATGAGAAGCCAGTATTCCTATGAAACATACTCTAATGCATTTATCTAGGATACAAGAAGAGAGGGTGTGAAATGATTACTATTTAATGCCAAATGTTCTCAGATTGTAATGCAGCCACTCTCAAAATAAGAACAGTAAGTTCAGGCCATTAATCTGAGGAAAGAAAGATTAAAACTTCTTTAAAGGTTTCTGGAATATCGTGATGGAATTCCGTGTATACACTCAATGTATAGTTTCATGACCAGCAGTTACATGGATGCTGATTATAAGGGAAAAAAAAAAATCATCTCCTTTCTCTCTTGGAATAGAAATTTTATATTTGTTATGCTCTTTGTCAAAACAACGAAACCTGTGTACATTCATGTATACTTGTGTATATTAAATTAACATTTTCTTACAGAGTGAAAATAATTTTTTCTACAGTAGATGAAGTGATCAAAATATATCTTTATTTCAAAATCCTAGAATGAGTGTACATAAGTGGTTACAGGGTACTATTCCATAAGGCAGAGATGTTTGCAGGCACCAAACTAGCACAAAGAAGTACAGTTTCACCCAAGGGGAATCATTTGCTGTTGAAGGTATCCTCCTTATTCTGCCTGGTTCACTGAATGCTAAGTACTGTATTGCACAGTGTGGACATAAAACACACTATTAATTATCTTCAAAATGCTTTGGTAAAATCATGAACCGGTAAGATGAACCAAGGCAAAAGAGATAAAACTAAGTTATCTGTATTCCTCTACCTGCCATTTAGCTCACTGTCCCCACATTTGGTTGTTTTTCAAAACTACTTTCAGAAGTCAGCAGGTTTTGTATTGGAATCATTATATGGAATTCTAGATTGAACTAGCATTTAGACAGGATGTAAGATAATTGGTGTTGGCCAATTTAATTTTCTAGCTCTTTTCAGAGATACTGTATGACACATTATTTGCTATAGGAGAGGTGTTTGCAGTTGAAACTAAAAAACTGTGAGAAGAATTGGTACGTTCCTGGGAAGTAATTTTTTTAACCAGAAGGACAAGTTTGGGAATGAAGAACACAGAATGCTGGTTGGAGAGATTGTGACTGAAAGTTAGCCTTCAGTATCCCCCAAGTTCAGTGCCAGAGTCATCAGTAGTGTTGTTCTTTATAAGGTCACTAAGTTTTTGTTAACTTTGGATGGTCTCATGTAGCAGAAGCTATGAACAGAGGATGGTACAGGAGCTTTCCCAACTATAATCACCTTCTAATGACAAGGGAGAAGAAGATGATGTAAAAGTCCTTTATGGCCTTGTTCTGAATCCTGGAAATGCCTTTTGCACTGGAATTATTCTTAGAAAGGCAAAAACTAAGTCTTCATTGATAAGGGTGCAGGAAGGAATATCAGTATGTAATTTAGAAAGACAGGCATGGGGTACAGATATAAATTATGTTTGGCAGATTCCTGAACTAAAACCCACAGCTGGAAAGCTGCACACAATTACAGTCAGTCTTTGCCCACTAAAGAAACCACAACAACTTCTTTGTGACTGAAGTAGAACATATTGTCACAATCCAACCCAGTGAACCCTCTGTCTAATGTTATCCTCAGTCAATGCTAAACCCCAAGAACTTTTCTTGAATTTACCTGTGAAAAGTTTCCACTGAATAATAGAATAAATAAACACCCTATGATGTGCTAATATCACTGTATAGAAATATGAGGTATGTGATACCATAAACACTGTTTTGTAAATAGTTAAACTACACTTCCCTCCACAAACCATTTCCAGCTGGCTGAGTATGTCTAATGATTGTAGACTTGGCTGCCTAGTTAATCAGCGTACCAATTAATATAAATTGGCTGCACATCGAATTATGGCAGCTCAGAAAGAACTTGCCAGGGACAGCAAAGAAGAGGTTAATAGTATTAATGATATTTGAGAGAACACAGTTTCTTGACTAGATATTCAGCCATGTCTGAGCTTCAGTATCCCTTAGCCAGGAACACGGCCCCACTCTCACCTTCACATCTATAACCTGTCGCATGGTGCCCCACGGTGGCTGCTTGCCTTCTGTAACATGTGCTCAAGCCAGGACGTGCTCCATTCATTTTGGTTACTGCTAAAAAAAAAAATAAATTTATCCCAGTTCATCATTATTTGCTAATAGTCAGAATTCAAGTGTGTAACAACATTTTGCAACTACTGACTGTTTCTAGTTCCATTCAAAGAGGGAATACAGGTCCCTCTAGCTGGTTACTTGGAGTTGATTTCATGCTGTTTTTCAAGATATAATTAAATAAAAAAATATAATTGTTACAATGTTTCTTTTATTAGATTATTTTTAATTTTTTCATTATTAAAATGAAACATTTTTACATCAGCTGTATTTATCAAGAATTAGTATGTGTGATTTTTCTTTGTACATCTTTTTAGGCTGTAATATGTATATTAGTTTGCGGTTTGGTTGTAATTATTTTCTAGCAAATTTCCATTTCACTTTCTTATGTGAAATGCAGCTTCTTTGCCACAACCAATGATAAACGAAAATGTTTCAGAAAAGATATTATTACCAAACTTCTTTCACATAAACATTTGCATTACTTCTGTAATTTTGTAAAACGTTTCACAGTCTGGATTTTCTTTCCATGTATATCTATCTCCCTTAACAAACAGTATCTTGTTTTCACCTGTTTTCATAAGGTGAAAACATTCATGAATGTTGATCCTGGCTGTGACATTTCAAGCCTCAGCTTGGAAAAACTGGCCCCCGAGTACCCACAACTCCTATTGATGTCTTCTTAATGAAGTAATTAGTGAGGTGAGAGAACCAATTAATTGGCTTAATTTCCAGAAGGTGGTTTTCAGTGCTGCAAGGCACTCCGATGGCTATATAATGATAATATGTATAAATGACTAAAATAAATAATGATAGAATTACAGTGGCTGCATATATGCAGAGGTGGCTCAGCCTGAGAAGTAGAGAGGTGAGCTGCTCACCAAGGGTGTCACTGGAGCACAGGTTGTTATTCAGGGAGCAGATGGGGCTGCCTTACTCAGCTCCAGCATCTCTTCTGATGTGACAGGTCTTTTCTCTTCAGTCTGCAGAGCAGTGAAGCAGGTCTGCAAGGGCACATGCCTAGAATATCTTGATTCTATTTTTAGTTTGTCTAAAAATGACTGTAGGCATAATCAGATATTTACTTGAAAAACAACTATTGTGGTTTAAGCAGTTACCACCTTGTGCCTGTTCACTACAGTCCCACTCCGCTGACTTACTATTTGTATTATGCTAATCCATTTTGCTGCAAAAATAAATCAGTATTCTTTACTATGGCTGTTTTGTGGACAAAAATGACTGCTCCTTCTATCTTTTGGCCTGTTGTTTTATGCTATAGAATCTAATTTTTGACATTTTGATTTTCATACATCAAAATTTGGGTCAGACATTCAGATCCATTGCCTTGACTCCAAAGATTTCGGCCTGAATTGTTTGCTTTGCAGTTTATAAACATCAATATACTTAAACTTTGTTCACTGCCAAGAGTGTGGTAATTGATAAGAACTTAATGAAAATATTAAAAAATTACAAAACTACATTTTAATGTAATGTCATGACTGCTGAATCCAAACATTTTAATATGATTTCATAAACATACTTGTATATCAGAGCATGGGACTGAAAAAGCTTGCAGTATTTTGACATAATTCAGATTTTACTGGCACTTTTAAAATCCAAACATTTATTAAACACTCAACAACTGCTTATTTTAAAGCAGCAGTCCAAATGCAAGACTACTGCTACATGAACACTGAAACTGAGGAGATTAACAATTATGTGTAGGCAGAGGAGGATTTTCATGCTCCAAATTGTTCATTAACTTAATTTTGGAGTTTCTATTACTAAATAAACCTGCTCATCACATTCTTCTCATATATAAAATGTCATGATTATTTTGGAAAAACGATTCAAGTTCTGAGGTTGGTGATTCCCATTATTTTGCAAAGAAGACACTTATCAGTTTTCAGATTTTCTCACTGGCCACTGTGAGAAAATGCACCTTTATTGTCAAACCTATCACCCAAAATTCTGTCAAGTTTATGTCATTCTTTGGCCTCAGCAGGGCCACATCTGAGAGTCCTTGCTGCAAAGACCTTTGCCCCTGCAGGTAGCCAAACTTCCTTCTATAGTCTTCTCTCTTTATATTGTTCTGCAAAACGTTTTTTCCCCTTCTGCTACTGATCCTCTATGAACAAATATGAATCTTCTGTCTGGTTGCCTGTATGTTCTGTCATAATGGATCCATACTCCTGCTCCCTACCCGTATCCTTCTAACCTGTTGAGAGGTCCAGAGCAAAATTCTGGCTCTGTTGAAGCCTGTTGTAAAATACTTGTTTCCTTTCATAGATATCAGGAATTTAGCATTGTATTTTCTTGAATATCATTCAGGACAGTCCAGAAAAGAGTTTTCATCCAGATGTTTGCCATACAGGAGTGCAACCATAATGCTTGTAAGAAAATACTTCTGCAAAACAGTTTCAAAAATAATACTATAGTGATGCTCAATGACATTCTCAAGGTTCCCCTTTCTTATACAGGGACTTGTTTTTGAAAAATTGATATACACCCAATCAAAGAAACCTTTGTCTTTACTCAAAGAGGTATTATTTCAATGTCTTGTAAATTTTGCATAATGTACAGGAAGTTTACAGCCAGTCTATCATATTATCTTTATTTTTAAAACCATTATACTGGTAAGTGACAAATTTACAATATGAAATATTTCCTTTCACATTTTTCCTTCGTAAAATCTTTACATATTTTTAAAAAGTCACACAGAAATATATCTCTGTCTAGAAGCATCAACTTTGTCAACTATAAGATCCAATGAAAATTTTATTATGTCCTAAAAAAAAGAAATGTAACAAATCTGGATCCAAAGCAAGAACTATTTTATACTTTAAAGGAACTGTTGTCCTTTTTCACTTGCAAATCTCGATGCAGTCTAACTTCAGATGGAACAATCAGGAACAATGACTCTCAAGAACACCAGGAGTACCATCAGTCCTGTAAGGCCATGGGACTTGCTGCAAATAACTCAACTGGCCAAACATGATGTCACTCTGCCTGCTTCTTGCTGTGCAGAGAAGACCAGAGATTAACACTGGAGGTCTGTTTGCCAATGGAAATAAACATCTGAGGGTGCCATGACCTGCATCAGCCAAAACCAGCAGGCTGGTTTAATCTGCTGGCCAAGATGAATGTGACCTATCCAGATTAAATTTTGCCTGCAGCGTATTTTGAGGATTCATATTGCCCCTTCTGCCAGCTGAGCTTTGCTTATAGCACATGTCAACATGGAAGGGAGCGCAATGCCTGGGTCTGATCTAACATGCTGCAACAAGAAAAAGCCTTGAAGCTAAAAACTGGCTAATTCTGTTTGGGGTCTGTCCCACGGAAATGATCAGAGGTGATGTGGGAAATGTGTCTTAAAAGCCCAGAGGCATCTAAAGGGGACTGGTGGTGGAGTCTGAACAATAGTGTTTGGTTTTTGGGTTTTTTTTTGTATAGATATAAAGGAGGTGTTATATATATATGTCCTTGGGATCTGTAAAAAAAACACTCTAACATATGGAATGAAAGTGGGCTTGCTTAAATCAAGTGACAATTTTAAGGGCAGTGTGCAGAGATCTCACTAAAATAGGCATATGAGTATGTACATGGACAGTTTATGGAGGTGAAGCTTTTAACACCAAGATAGTAGACAAAACTGGAATATTCTGAAGCACTACCTTTACTTTGTAAAAGTCTATGCTTATTAAAGAGGGATAAAAGCTGCTATCAACAACAATCTTGATAGAATCTCTGGCATCTTGAAAAATGTGACACAGGACACATTTGACAATGAAGTAAATCTGAAATGTCCATTTTCACAGTACTCTCTGCCTAACTGGCAGACTTTATATATTTTTAAAATACTGCTCATAAGGCCTTTTTCTGTACTATGTAGTAAAAATACACAAAGGCTTGCTTCAGGGTGCTGAGTGGCCTCCTTTTGTGTCTAAGCAGGGACATTCCTGGGGAGAAAAAAAAACAACAACAAAAAAAAAACAACAAAAGAACCAACCAACCAACCAAAAAACCAAACAAAAAAATGCAAAAACAAAAACAAAAAAAAATAAACAAAAAACAATAACCAAAAAAACCAAACCAACCAAACAAAAACAACCCCACAAAAAACCCAAACAACCAACCCAAAACACCAAAACCAATTATATGCCAAGGAAAATACTGAAAATCCAAGGAGAGAGTACTCGTGTCAGGTGCCAGGAGCCAAAGGCAATGGTAATGAAAAACTCAAAATCCCACAAAGAGGTACTTAAGATTTAGAGGGAAAACACTACCATCGCAGATACAGAACAATAAAACGTTACACCACTCCAGACACCCAATAATGAGATAAAGCGCTGCCATGCCAGGCCTGCCGCGGGAAGCCTGGAGCTGCCAGGGCCGTGAAGGACGTCTTGGAGCAGCAGCAGCCCCGATGCCAGAGTACGAGGGCTGGGTGCCAGCGCCCTGGCGGAGAAGGCGAGGGCAAGGCCTGGAAACAAGCAAACATTTTACGAAAGCCCCAGCAGGAAGAGAGGCCCGGCCACCGGGCGTCATTCGGGAAAAAGACTGCTCCAGGAAAAGGGCAACATCACACCCCCGCCCGGGGCGGCAGGAGCACCGCAAAGCCCCGACAGGGCCCGGCGGGGCCAGGGCTCGGGGGCCGGGCCGGCGCGGGGCAGCGCCGGGCGGGGCGAGCGCAGGGGCGGTGCAGCCGCAGCCGCAGCCGCGGCGGGGCGGAGCGCGGTGCGCGGTGGGAAGCGCGGCCCGGGCCCCGGCTCATTACTCAGCGGCGAGGCCGGAGCGGGCGGCGGTGGCGGACGGGTGCCCGGGGCGGCCGGCGGTTGCGTGGAGCGGGCGGGCGGCGGAGGGGCGTGAGGGCGGACGACTGGTGGCCGGGCCGCCTCGGCCCGGGCGTTTTGTTTACGTCCGACGGG